GCCAGAGGGTTTTGATGCAGCTGCTCTTCTCCTCCAAGTCCCATAGCAGCAAATTCCCAAGCTTTGCACGGCAGCTGGTTGGGCCGAAAGTCACTTTGGCCTTGCTTTTCTGCAGCCGGCGCACAGAGAGGAGGTTAGCGGACAAACCTTCAACCAACAACACATTCTCCCATTACCTTGGCATTCCCCACACCAATCACAGGGAGCAAAGCACCTGAAGCAGCAGCCTCAAACTTGATCTTCCCAGGGGGTTTCACCTCGTCAAGCAAATCTGCCCGTGGGGTCATGTGACTTGTACAACCTGAATCGATTACCCAGTGAGTGAGGGGATGCATCACAACCTTCCCAACTGAACCCACATCATCCCCACTCCCTTGCACATCCTCGACCATGAGGAATATCCCCGGGTCGGCTTTACCTTGTGCACCATCTTCTTGTACACCTGAACCTTGCACAGCGCCACCTTGTGCACGTTCACCACTTGGCGGCTTCATGCCTGGGGGTGCCGATCCCTCAGGCCAGCTAAAACACTTGAACCACGGGTGTCTGCCTTTTTGCAGTACCAGCAAGCTCCCTCCATTCGGGTGCTCCCCTTGCCTCCAGAGCTCCCATGCCCCTCGTTGTAGTCACCTCGGCCTTTCCCTCCGCCAAAGCCTCTCCCACGGCCTCGGCCTCTCCCTCCCCCTCTTCCTCTGCTGCCTCCTGCAGCTCCATATCCCTCGGCAGTTTTGTTGGCAGCCCCACCTCCCGTGTGGCGCCTGCGGAAGCCCTCCTGCAAGATCTGCTGCCGTAGCCACTAAGGCGTCCACTTGTCCTGCTGAGCGTTGAGGGTGGGGATGAGGTTGTCCCATGAGTTGTCGAGCACCGAGATGATCTTGGTGCACTGCTGCATTTTCGACACCTTGCTGCCCGCCGCTGCCATCCTCGCATACGTGTCCTTGATTTTGTCAAGGACCGGCTTCACATCGTCTCCCGATCGCATGGAGAGGGCAGCCAGCTCTTTCTCCAATATAATCACCATCGGCAGCGTGTTGGGTTGAACCACGTCGCGTAGTAGCTTCGACGCCTTCGGTTCTGAGTCATCGAGCTCCACCAAATCCTTGATGTGCCGGGACATGTCGTTGTTGACCGACTGGAGGATGAGGTTGTACTGCACCGCACTCTTCTCAATCCACCGATCGCGGGCATCTTCTTTCCCCGGCATCTTCTCCTCTCCCATTGCAATTTTCAGCAGCTTGTAGCGCTTGAAGGTGCTCCGCATCCGCCCGCTCCATTCCTCATATTTGGAGCCATCTAAAGCTTCAATCTTGGATGGTGGCGGCTCACTCCTCTTCTCAGCTGCATCTCCACTCCCTTCATTCATCTCCTCTGCTCCCAATCAGAGGTTTCAGCTCCGCCCTTTGCTGGTCACAATGTAGATCCACACAATCTTCACAAGTGTCGGCGCCAACGAAATTTCGGCAGAGTTTCCCTTTAGCAGAAGTCACATCCAACCTCCAGAACTCCACTTAGGCACGCCTACAGGCCATGGTGGGTCTAGGAGGGTCTTCACACTTCAGTAGACTTTCCACAAGGTCCTTGATCAGCTCTGATGCCACTTGTTAGGAACTAAGGACGGAGTCTATGAAGATTAGGAGCCGAAATATCACAAAATTGCTGGTCTCAATTTCTGGACAGAATAGTCGCGCTCACAAGAAACGCCGTCGACAAAAAACGCACTGTCAAATCTTCACCAATTTCGGATATGTTGTAGCTTCATTCCGTGGCTACAAGTCCCAAGTTGATTCGTACAAAAAAAAGAAGTATTTTTCGAGTTATGAATTTCGGCGCACTAGGGGGTAAGCTGCCATAGAATCTTAACTCAATCACAATTGTCTCACAATTTCACACAAGAAAGTTGGAGTAGCAATTAACCAGATGGGAGGGAAGAGGAGGACGAGAGGGAAGGTCCCCAAGGAGTCCCCAACCAATGAAACCCAATAAGCACACCAAATCCTTTCCTTATAAGAACCCCACTTTTACTTTTGTCACTTTCCAACCCATGCCATCCACCTTGCCCAACTTGGCCACACTTGCAAACCTGGTTTGGCTCCTCCCAACCACTTGGCACCATCTACACTGATGTTGACGAATTTCCCAACCCCCAAAAGTCTATACCTTTTATGGAGTCAACCTGACAACTTCCCATAGTCACCACAACCAAATATCAAAAGCATACGAACTTCCAACGTTCGTAACTTTCTTGTTCGTGCTCCGATTGAAGCGATACTTGGTTCGTCGGAAAGCTCTTGAGCAGAGGAGTCATTTCAGATATCTGCTCAAGCCAAATAACATTCACACACACTCAGAAAAACCAAACCACATCAAACACAAATTCTTGCACACGCTCACACCACACATGCAACGCACGAACATGTGATGGGAGGCAGACAGACGTGAATGCAAGTGATAGCAACACATAACAGAGGAGAGACAGGAAACACAACAAGTGGAGAGTGTCGAGGCTAAAGAATCAAGAGGAGGAGCTGCGATACACAAGACATACGCGGTTGGGGGACATGAAAGGTGGTACAGACAAGCAGCACATGCACAGTCAGTAAGACGAGCACACACAGGCAGACATGGCCGCACATGCACAGTCCAGAGAAACACAAAGCACATGCGCATGCACATGCCCATGCAGATGCAGGGACCTGTAGAGGTCGGTGGCGGTGGTGGTGGTGTGCGTCCTGGTGTACGCGGGGTCCACATAGCCCACCGTGCCTATCACCCTCGTCGACCCCATGGCTGTGCTGTCGCCCCCTCGCACGAGCCCAAAGTCAGCCACCTTGGGCTGATGGGAGGGACAGGGGAAGGGGACGAAGGGAGAGGAGGACAGGAGAATGCCACAACGGTCATGTGTTCCACTGGCAGTCATGTGTTGAACTCACCTGCATGGCGCACTCACCTGCATGGCGCACTGACCTGCATGGCGCACTGACCTGCATGTGGGCATCGAGCATGATATTGGCGGGCTTGATGTCGCGATACACGATGCCGAACGAGTGCAGATACTCCACCCCGCGCACCGCCCCCACCAGGATATCCAGCCTCTGCTGCAGGCTCAGCGGTGTGGGCGCGTCTGGGGGAAGGGCCGGACGGAGGGGGGGCACATGAGGAAAGGCAGTATCTGTAAGAGAGGCATTTAGGGACGCATTTAGAAGGCAATTCCGAGGCATAGCGGGAAGGCAAGAGAAAAGAGAAGTGCAAGACGAGGGTGCGCAGTGCAGTGCGGGGTCCATCACGCGGGTACACATGCATGAAGCAAGCCAGTCAGTGGAAGAAGCAACACTGATGCTACTGCCCTCAGTGGGACTGCTGTTGTACGCGCTGCACCTGGGCCCATCCAGCGCTCGAGGTCCCCGTTGGCAACGAACTCGTAGAGCAGCACGTTCTCCACGCGCGTGTGCACGTCACCTCCCACTGCCAACCCCAGCAGGCGCACCAAATCGGGGTGGTGCTTCGTGGCCATCTGCGCCACCTGCACAACAGAGGGTTCTAGTGGTCACGGCACTGCACCACAACCTCACTCACTGCACCGTGCTATTTCTGTACCATGTTGTATGCATTAGATTCATTCATTTTATTATCTTCTCATATACTTGATCATCATTCCTTAGTGCCACAACTTGCAAAAAAAAATTCACAATGATATTCATGCAGTTAGTCCCACTCTCTCATCTCTTCACATGCATAAAGACCCTCTCGCTCTGTCACCACTCACCACTACTCAATCACACACACACACACCTCTCTCTTGAAGTCACTGGTGATGACTTTAGCGTGCTTCACAGCCCACAGCGTGCCATCGAGGGGCCACACCCCCTTGTACACGTCGCCGAAGCTGCCCGCACCCAGCAGGTTGGCCGTGGCCCAATCGTTGGTGGCGCGGGCGACCGTGTCGAGGGGGAACTGCTGGAATGCCGCGGAGCCATTGGGCGTGCCCACCACCCGTTCAGGTGCAGCTGCACAGGCGTTCAGGAGGGGGGGGGTGGAGGACGGGAGAGGGCATGCACATGGGTGAGGGCATGCACATGGGTGAGGGCATGCACATGGGTGAGGGCATGCACATCGGTGAGGGCATGCACATGGGTGAGGGCATGCACATGGGTGAGGGCATGCACATGGGTGAGGGCATGCACATGGGAGAGGGCATGCACATGGGTGAGGGCATGCACATGGGTGCACAGGGGTGAAGGAACGGAGGGCGGTGTGGGCGGGCGGGAGGGAGGGATGGTTGGAGAGAGAGGGACTTGTTGTGCCATTCTAATCCACACTTGATTATGACAGCGCAAGAGCGAGCGCATGACAAGAGCGAGCGCATGCCAAGAGCAGCAGACAAGAGCAAGCGCATGACAAGAGCGAGCGCATGACAAGAGCGAGCGCATGACAAGAGCGAGCGCATGACAAGAGCGAGCGCATGACAAGAGCGAGCGCATGCCAAGAGCGAGCGCATGATAAGAGCAAGCGCATGCCAAGAGCGAGCGCATGACAAGAGCGAGCGCATGACAAGAGCGAGCGCATGACAAGAGCGAGCGCATGACATGAGCGAGCGCATGACAAGAGCGAGCGCATGACAAGAGCGAGCGCATGACAAGAGCGAGCGCATGACAAGAGCGAGCGCATGACAAGATCGAGCGCATGACAAGAGCGAGCGCATGACAAGAGCGAGCGCATGCCAAGAGCGAGCGCATGACAAGAGCAAGCGCATGCCAAGAGCGAGCGCATGACAAGAGCGAGAGCGAGCGCATGACAAGAGCGAGCGCATGACATGAGCGAGCTCATGACAAGAGCGAGCGCATGACAAGAGCGAGCACATAACATGAGCGAGCGCATGACAAGAGCGAGCGCATGCCAAGAGAAGAGAGAAACCTGTGGCTGCCTGGCCGCGGCGGCAGCAAGTGAGGGTCCACCAAGCTGTGGCGAGGAGGAGCAGTAGCAGCTGCAGTGCCGCCGACACGATGCCACCGATGGCTGCTGCGGACAGGCCCGCCTGGCTTGCCTGGCCCACCTGGGCGGTTGTTGTGGCGCTGACGTCCGGTGGCAGCGGCGGGGCTGGATGTTACATGCACGGTACGGCACGGCATCAGACACACACAGGCATCATACTCACGGGCGCACACACGCATCCACACACTCGCTCACACTCATTGACACTTGTATGCACGCGCACACATACACACACATGCACGCACGCACACAAGCGCAGAGATGCACGCACACATGCGCAGAGATGCACGCACACATGCGCAGAGATGCACGCACACATGCGCAGAGATGCACCCACACATGCGCAGAGATGCATGCACACATGCGCAGAGATGCATGCACATTAATCTTGATTGAGCATGATGAAGCAGGTGTGCGTGCAGAGGATACACATGAGCACTGAATCAGGCATGGGTGGTGCCGCATAGCAACTGGTCACACTTTCACTCGTATCGTATGCAGGGGCTGTTGAGGATCAAACAGGGGCAGTAGTTGGGACTCCCAACTGCTTGCTCATGCATGGGCAATCGCTGGCCTTGTAAAGCAATGGCAGGACCGCCAACTAGCATTGATTGGCATACACCGGCATTGACATGCATGACCCACCTGGAGCAGTACCAGCATGTGGGGCGGGATTGGAGCAGGTGGAGCAGAAGGAGGGGCAGTGGCGGCAGAAGGAGGAGTTGGGTGACTGAGAGACCACACAGGCGGAGGCGTCAGCGGGGCACACGAGTGACGTGCCGGACACATGGCTGCTTGGTGAGCCACGTAGAGGGGGGGCAGTGGGAAGCAGGGGGTTGAGATAGCGTGGGAACGGCCAGGGAATGAGGTCGTGAAATGAGGTGAGTGAGAGGGTGGCTGCCACACGAAGGTGAGCACCCACAAAGAAGGTGAGTTGCTGCAGGCCGCCAAGACCAGCAGGCAGTGACTCGGCAAACTTGTTGTGACTCACGTCGCTGCATGGCAGGTGAGTCAATGAAGTTGACAACGATTGGTGGTGGTGGTGGTGGTGGTGGTGGTGGTGGTGGTGGTGGTGGTGGTGGTGGTGCTGCTGCTGCTGCTGCTGCTGCTGATGATGATGATGATGATGATGATGATGATGATGATGATGATGATGATGATGATGATGATGATGATGATGATGACGATGGAAGCAGCAGCCAGGCAACAGAAGACTAGACACATGAGCAAAAACTCCAACCCCTGTTCGATTTGACTCGAGCCTGTTCGAGTCGAATCGAGCAGGGTGGTTTTTTATGCCCAAAATTGTTCGGGTTCAGCCCAAAGTGTTCTACGCGAACACTTTGGGTTCTTAGAAAGAATCCAGCGCATCAAACTGTGACGCGCTGCTTCGATCTAAAAGGGGGCCCCCACGATTGAGCTCATTCTTGAGCCCAATCGCCCTTAGAGTCTAAGGAGGACATTCCGCCAACTACCCGATCCCACGGTTTAAATTCCACATTTAGGCAGGAAATGTTAGTTTGAATTGAAGACGTGTTTGAGTTCGGTCGTTGCTAATGTCAACGGAAGGCCAAATACGTAAATGGCGAGGAAGGGTATCCGTGCGATTCAGAAAGGCGGGTGGTTGTTGAGGATTGTGAATGACGTTGGGACAAAGAGGCAACTCACAGGCCCTTGAGAGTGCCTACGCGTGTGATCCATACGGGCAGCGATCCACCCAGTCTGTTGTAGCCCACATCCCTGTGAGCCATGCACACACATGTGCAGACAGGCAGGCACGCAAGCAGGCACGCCAGAGGTCAAGCAGGTAATAAAACAAGCATGCAAGCAAACAGGCACAATACGTACAGGGAAGGGGAGGTGAGCACCGATGCACCATCACCATGCGTGCACGCATGCAGGCATCCAGGAAAGCAGCAGGGCTGGTGCACCTTTTGACTCAAGTTGCGAGCGACTCGCACGCAACCGTGGTTGCTGCAGTGAGAGCAGAAGCGAGTAATATTGAGAGAGTGCAGTACGGCCCGGGCCGGGATATAGAATCGGACGCCCACGCACGGTGCACTAGTGACAAGAAGCACACACGGCTGCACTGGAGGTGAGCACAGAGACTCAGACATGTGATGTGATGCTGGCCCATGCTGGCCCATGCATGCTGGAAGACGATGCTGCATTGCTCTTCATTCCTCTGACTTCACTTGCTGCACCGCCAATGCACCATCGTCCCATCCCAAGCACCAATACACACAACGGCTTGCATTTCCGTGGCTCATGCTGGCGATTGAGTCGATTCAAAGTTCCTCCTATCAAGCGCCCGCCCACACGTGGGCTGGTAGCTCCGCGCTCACAAGGATTGCAGGAGGGAGAGGCGGGAGAGCGTGCTTTAGATGGCGCCCGTCAAGGAGTTGTTGGCCAGGTTGCTGCCTCGCCATGCATGGCACGGGGGATGTTGTGGCATTGGGAACGTGGCATGGGAATGTGGCATGGAATGTGGCATGGGGAATGTCATCAGCAAACATTCGAACAACTCTTCAATTAGACTCGAACATGTTCGAACCGAACCGAACAGTTTGTCGTTTTTCCCAAATAGTTTGGGAGGAACACCCAAGTGTTCGTCCCGAACACGTTCGAGTGTTCGATTGTTTACAAGCACAAAAACACTCGAACTCCTAGGTGTTTTAGTTCGCAAAGTGTTTGTCAGGAACACTTAGGGTTTGAGACCAGCACGCCAGATTTTGAGGGGAGAGGGTCGAGAAGCAGTGGTGAGCAGAACAGGCGCCACCAGAGTTGGCGCTGAAGGGAGAGGGGTTCGACGAGGGGGATTAGGAGGAGAATGTTGCTGTGGCAGGAGGAGGGGGGGTTGGGGGAATTGTACGAGGACGTGATGGGCTCTCAGGTTTAGTTTTGCATGTCCTTGACTTGAACTTGCCATTTACATGTTGCCCATTGACTTATTCATCCACCATTTTTTATACCTTGAGTGCACAGCATTGTTGATCTTCACTCTTGTCTTTCATTACATTGTGATATTGCTTGCGCGGCCTGGATTTTTTACCTGCCCTGAATGTGACTATACTGAAAGTACCCCCCAAGGCAAACTGTTCGAGTTCAAGTCAAACACCCAGTGTTCGGCCTTGCCTCAAAACTGCTCAACCCTATACTCGAACAGGGAACACTAACATTTAGGTAAACTGTTCGAGTCAAACATGTTCGCTTTGCTCGTTGCTCATGTCTAGAATGTGGTATGGGGAATGTGGCATGAGAAGCATGAAAGTGCAGTATGGGGAATGTGGCACGGAGAAAGTGCCATGTGTTGGATGCACGTCATTCTGAGTGCATGTCATCCTAACGTCCTGCCGAGTGCTCGTGCTATTTGTGCTTGCATGATTTGCCTGAGCATATGTCATTGTGCATGGCTGTTGGATTATACAATCTCTGTGTTATTCTCCAAGTCTAAATGTTTGATCATGCAGGAGAAATCCAGAGCTTTCCAACGATACCAAGATCGCCTTATTCCGACCAAGATCGCCCAAGTTACAAGATTTCCAAGACTTGGATTTCTTATTACATTTTGGGGTTATATCTAATTTGGGTGATTACTTGGGACATGACTATAAAGGAATCTTTGGTTGGGTGGTTAGGAAGGCAACTTTGACTTTTGGATTGGGGTGGCTGTGTTGGGTGCAAATTCACATTGCACGACATCCTGCCGTCTGTTTGTACGAGTATGCGTGTGCGAATGCATTTGCGTGTGAATGGTATGGTCGTGTGTTTGTTTGCTTTCGCAATTTTCGCTTGAAGCATTTGCAGGTACTCGCACAATGTGCGCTTCGGCATAACATTGTACGCGCTATGAACAGTACAAGCAGAAAGGACGAGCTCGCAAAGGAACCCAAGATGGAAGCTTTGTGGTTCGGCTTACTTGATTGCGCAGATTCAGTTCTATCCAACTCGAAATTGTACTGTTTTGTTTGGTTGACTAAAATGTAGCAGGGCAGGCACTATAGGGGTACAATTTAGGTGAAGGTTGGATGTTGTTTGTCTGTATCTGCATGCTACAGGGCCAGGGGAAACCAGCGGAACCAGCATTTGGCTGGTTGGGCAAAGACAAAACAGGTTCTGTTTTTAGGACCTGAACCTGGTTGTTGTTTTCTCAGGTTGTAAAAACAGAACCAGAGGTTGTTCACCAACCTACCACCTGCTATTTTGTCCAGCCAGGCTGGTTCTGTTGCTTGGAATTATTTGGGATCATCCCTGGTTGTTCCCAGGTTTATTCCCAAGGTCCTTGCTAGCTAGAGCTATTTATTCCTTCTCTGTTTGTACCTGAATATACTGAAATTGATTCAAGCGAATTCCTCCCTTCCTGGAATTTCGTTTCTACGCGGTGCGACGGCGGAATGCTACCCGAGTCAACGCTAGTACGCTAGCACTCCAACGCTAGGCTAACGCTATCCGAGCCATAACTTCGTAATGGCAAAACTTTTCGCGAGGCAACTTGGCTTATTTTAAAGCTCTTAGAGTGAGCTTCGATATAGTAAATTCTTAGCTTAATCCGATCAACGGTCTGCACGATACGCTGCGCGACGTTCAAGGTACCCTTGCTGTTTTGACTAAGTCCCTCTTGATCCCTCTCTCTACAAACTCGGACCCGAGGATAGGGGCTGGTCTTGTACCAGGCACCCAAGGACCCTTGGAGGTGACCCCGAGGAGAGGTTTTTAAGTGTGATAAAGTCTTAATAGCTTGAGTTTATTAGGCCCTTACACCAACAAGCTGGTATCAGAGCTGCGTTATAGGGATCCTCGATATCGGTAGCTATGGCGGGCAACACCTCGGCAGTAGCTGGTGAATCTTCAGCCCAAGATCGTAGCGGCAGCCATGATTTTGGCGTTTCTGCGCCAAGAGGAGCGCGAACAAGCCAGGGCTCACTCATCAAGGAGGTGCTGAAAAACTTCACCGTCGAGAAGTTCAATGGTGAGGGCTATGATGATTGGGCCTGGAAAATGCAACTTTATTTCCATCAGATCGGATTGCTGAAACTAATGATTGGGGAGGAGCCTAGACCGAGTGACCCCGCCCTTCAGGAAGATTGGGACGAGCGCGCCTCGGCTGGCTACTACTTGATGTCGCAGAGTTTGGAGCTGAACCAGCGTCACCACGTCATGCACCTGCTGCCGGAGGTTGAGTGCGGTCCGAAGGCGTGGACGGTGTTGAAGGAGCTGCACGCCCCTACCTCCGTCGCTTCGACGCTCATGATGGAGAGGGAGCTGTCAGCGTTGCGCTTAAGCGAGGGAGAGCCGGTACAACCCATCCTGGACAAGATGCATGATCTCTACGCGAAGCTGGCGATCGCGGGAATCACCTACCCGGAGCAGACCAAGTGCCTGAAGATGCTCTCGCTGCTGCCGGAATCGTGGCTTCAATTCACGAGCGGATTGAGCCTGCCGCAGAACCAGAGCTTGTGGACGCTCGAGTGGGTGCGAACGAAGATTCTCGAGGAGGACTTCCGTCGCCACCAACTGAGGGGTGGAGACAACGGCAGCAGCGGCTACGGGATGCAAGGGAGCAGACATGGCAAAGGACATGGCTTCGGTGGTGCTGGACGCGGTGCAAAGAAAGACGACGACTCCAACGACCAACAAGGAGGTACCGGTTGGGGTCGCGGGGCGAAATCTGGACGTGGGGGCAAGTCGGGTGCTGGTGGCAAAATGAAAGGGAGTTGCTGGTATTGTGAGAAGGAAGGGCACCCCTGGTTTTTGTGCTATAAGAAACCCGATGGATGGACCCCCCAGAATCGTCACCAGGATGGCGGCGCGCGGAGGAACCAGAAAAACGGTGCCAACATGGTCGCTGATTCATCCGACAACAACCCGAAGGGCAACGGCGGTGCGGAGAAGAAGAAGGAGCGCACCGCGGGCCAATTCTTCCATATGGGAGACAAGGGGGAGCAAGGAGACGCCTCTGCCAAGGTTGGAGCAGAGCTGCACCCCTTGGATTATTGGGTGTTGGACACGGGCGCTGCTTGGACAATGACGCCGCGCAAGGACCTGCTGGATGACGTACGCGCTGCACCGATTAATGAGGTGTGCTCTGCCTCTGGACACATGTTGAAGGTGGCTGGTGCGGGACGAGCTGCATTTAAGGGAGCGGATGGCAAGCCGGTGGTGCTGCACGACGTTCTCCTCGTCCCCGACCTGAAGGCCAACCTCATCTCCCTCCGTAA